GCCCAGGCTGAACATCATCAGGCAATGTAGCAACAAACTGAAATAGACATATTAGAAATAAATGGGAAGCTTTAAAGAAATCTGCAATAATGCACTCACAAAGAGTCAGCCATAGAAATTCTATGTGAAACTCCACCAGATAATTACCCCCTCAAAAACCTTCAATAGCTCTTACTGCTTCAAGAAAGACAGGATGTTGGCAGTCTCATTTCTTGTTTGACTAGTAGTTTTTAAGTATTACCAGTCTAAGTGTCTTTAAATTGAGCATATATTTCCAGTTACCAGAGACCCTGCCACATCATTTTGTCCAACACATGGCTAGAGTCCCCTGGATCATACTTTTCTCTTGGTTAAGTGGTTTTTATTACTTAAAAAGAAAACAAAAACCCACGTAAGACCAAAAATTTAAATATAGTAAAAGTAATCAACTTTCATGGCTGCAAATAAAACAAATATGATGGTAATGGATGTGTTATTCCTCTCAAAATTTAAACTTTAATTTTATTCTACTCTTACATAAAAAAGGACAAATGCTAAGTCAGATAGCTCCTGATAACTGGTCTAGAGAAATGCTGAATTTCAACTGTCTTCTATAAAACTCAGCGCCTTAATTTTAAATGTTTCCTGGGAGACAGACCATTAAACACTTGCCTGCTCCACACTGTTTTTGCTGCCCTCTACAAGCACACAAGTTAACTACCATACTGACCCCATCCCTCAACAGTGCCAGGGGTTACTGGGAAAAGACTCACTGGCTCTCAGTGTTTGGATAGTAGCTTTAAATATAACACAGTGCCTGTCACTTCTAACTGTTCAGTAAGAAATGAGCAAGTGATGAAACTTCAAATACACTCCCACTAGCCTCCCTAAACAGCACTGCAATGTCCTGCCTGCCTCGGGCCTGACATGCTCCATTTCCTTGGCCAGGACAGTCAGTGCACCGACTCCACTCAGTACTCGTCCACCAGCCCAGCAGAATTGGGGTCCCTCCGTGGGAACGGGATCGTCCCTCCAGCAGCTTGGCTGTGAGGGCTGTGTATAGCACCGACAGGGGTCCCCAAAGCGCCCTGTCCAACGTGGCAACAGGAGGGACAATGGCAGGGACTGCTTCCATTGCATATGGACAGGTAGCGGGTGAGACACTTCCCTGCAGAATGGCACAGGACTCGTCTCCTTCACCATCTTCTCTCACAGAGAACATCTGGATCACAGCAAAGGACTCATCTCTTTCACTGCCTCCTTTCACGGAGACCGCCCCACTCACGGCACAGGACTCGTCTCCTTCATCGTCTCCTTTCATGGGGACCGTCTGGCTCAAGGCACAGGACTCGTCTCCTCAACCATCTCCTCTAATGGAGACCGTCCAGCACAAGGCACAGGACTCGTCTCCTTCACCATCTCCTCTAATGGAGACCATCCGCCTCGTGGCAATGGACTCGTCTCCTTCATCATCTCCTCTCATGGAGACCGTCCGGCTCACGGCACAGAACTCGTCTCCTTCACTGTCTCCTATAATGGAGAGCATCTGGATCACGGCACAGGACTCGTCTCCTTCACCGTCTTCTCTCACAGAGAGCATCTGGATCATGGCACAGGACTCGTCTCCTTCACTGTCTCCTGTAATGGAGAGCATCTGGATCACGGCAAAGGACTCATCTCCTTCACTGCCTCCTCTTACAGAGACCATCCGGCTCAAGGCACAGGACTCGTCTCCTTCACCATCTCCTCTCACGGAGACCATCTGGATCACGGCAAATGACTCGTCTCCCTTCACCGTCTGCTCTCACGGAGACCATCCGGCTCAAGGCACAGGACTCTTCTCCTTCACCGTCCCCTCACAGAGACCATCCAGATCACGGCAAATGACTCATCTCCCTTCACTGTCTGCTCTCACAGAGACTGTGCGGCTCAAGGCACAGGACTCGTCTCCTTCACCGTCTGCTCTCATGGACAACATCCGGCTCACAGCACGGGACTCCTCTCCTTCACCGTCTCCTCTAAAGGAGACCGCCCGGCGCACGGAGTAGACTGAACTCCATCTGCCCCGTGGCGGGCTCTTTGGCTACTGAACACTGAGAACACTAACCACGGTGACGATAGTGAGCACCGTGAACACGTCAGTAGGCGCTGCGAGGGCGAGGCCCATGTGGAAGGAACCAACCGCCAAGCGGCGCAGGGATGAGCGCGGGCAGCTGAGCGCGGGCGGCTGAGTGGAAGCATCCAAGCAGGGGGAGGTGATGAACGGGGCTCGCCCACCTTAGGAGCTGAGAGAATGGGCGAAGCAAGGGGCCGGAGTGAGGCGGCCAGTGGGCTACTGGGAGAGGAAGAAGGGCGGGGGCCGGGCCGGGGAACAGGAGGAAGGCAGGCCTCTCCAGCTGCCCTGAGCTGGCCCCTATGTCACAAAGTGCTGAGACCCCAGCCGCCCTCCCATCCGGAACGGAAAGGAGGGGCCCTGCGCCCTCCATCCTCTGCTTACTCCTCCCTGCCCAAGCTCCAGCTGCTCACGCAGCCTCCCATTCTGGTGACACCCCTTTAAAAAGCCTATCCTGCCACAGTCATGCCATCTTCACCCCTATGCCAGTGGGTCCAGTTCTGGGTCCCACATTTTAAGGTTACTTGATGCATGGAAAGGACAAGGAGAATGAATGGTCTGGGAATCACTTTCCAATAGTTGAGGAAACTGGGGACATTTACACTGCAGAAAGAAAAAAAAAGTATTTGTAGATCTTTAAAGAGATGTCTTCGAATTGAATATAAAGTCAATTCAGAAGAACAATCAAGCATGAAGCAGGGAAAGCCTAAGGAGAAGAGCAATGAAGGGCGCAGTGAGAGGGCAGAGCAGGCCCAGTCATTACTCTGTAGGGTACCAAGGACACAGACTAACCACGGGATAGGACAGAAATCCAGAAACAGACCCCACTGCAGTGGACATCTGGGATACGATAAAAGTCAGCTGAAGAAAAACAGACTTTTTTTTTGACTGGTAAGGGGATAGCAACCCTCTGCATGGTGTTGTCCACACCACGTTCAGCCAGTGAGCGCACCGGCCATCCCTGTATAGGATCCGAACAAGCGGCCTAGGCCCTACCAGCGCCGCACTCTCCCGAGTGAGCCACAGGGCCAGCCCAAAAAACAGACTTTTTAATATGTGGTATTGGCATAGGTAGTTAACCATATGGAAAATGATAAAATCGATCTTTTTCTCATTGTTCACAAGGATAAATTCCAAATGGATCAGAAACCTGAATGGAAAAAAAGAAAATGAAAAAGTATTGTACTAGAAAAAAATTTCTATGTCTCATGAGTGGGCAAATCCTAATTATGTCTCAAAATCTAGGAGCAACAAGGGAAGAGATTTATAAATTTGATTACTTCATTATAAAAAAACTTGCCCAGTTCCCCACCTCACTAAAATTGCAAAATAAGCAAAATTTGACGGTGACAACCTGAGGAAATATATTTGTAACATATTAAAAGGGATTAATACTTCTAAAACATAAAAAGCTTCACAAATAGAGAAGGAAGTGGCCAGCAAACCTATGGAAAAATGGGCTGAAAGAATGAATGGATCTGGGAAAAGAAATATAAGTAGCTTGTAGACATATGGAAACACTCTGCCCTGTTCATAATAAAAGAAATACAAATAAAGCCTACACTGAGTCACCATTTCTCACTTACCCTGGCAATATCCAAATATCTGACAACATATGAGGATACTTCAAAAAGTCTGTGGAAAAACAGAATTAAAAGATAATACAAATCTTTCCATAAGCTTTTTGAAGTACCCTGTACTCTGCTGGTGAGAGAATGTGGTGGAAACAGCCACTCTCATGCATTGCTGATCACTATGCAAAATGATACAACCCCTATGAATGAGAATTTTGCAACATCTCCCAAAATTACGTGTGTATTTACCCATTGACTCAACAATACCACTTCTAAAGCTCTATCTCAGAGATACTGGGGAACAATGAATGTTGAAAATATATATGCACAAAACTATGCTACTCCAGTATTATTTATAGTAACAAGACTGGAAATAAAATGTCCATCAATAAAAGAGACATTGAATAAACCAAAGAATACTGTGCAGCTATAAAAAAGAAACAAAATAATTTTATATACTGTTATATATAAAATATAGTTTCCAGAATATTAAAAAACAAAACAAAACCTGGCACTTGGTATAATCATTCTTTCAAATTTTAGCTATTCTAATAAGTGTGTAGTGGTAACACAGTGTGGTTTAAATTGGACGATTAATGATCTTGAGCATTTTAAAATGTGCTTCTTTGCTACCTACACATCTTCTTTGGTAAAGTGTTTATTTTACTGGGTTGTTTTTCTGGCCTTTTGTCTTGAAATTATGTACTGTTTGGGCTACTCTAGGTCCTTTCCATTTTCCATAAGAACTGTAGAATCAGCTTCACATTTTCTATTTAAAAAAAAAAAAAAAAAAAAAAAAAAGTCCTGCTGGGATTTTGAATGGGATTATGTTGATTCTAGTGATCAAACTGTTTATAACTGACAGCTTAACAATAGATTTAGTCTTCTGAATTATAAACAAGGTATATCTCTCCATAAATTTAGGTCTTCCTTAGTTTCAGCAATATTTTATATTTTTCAACGTATATGTCTTACACATTTTTTGACATATTTATCTTTAAGTACTGCATTCTTTTTATACTGTTGTACTTGGAAATTTCTTAAAATTTCAATTCCCAATTATTTATTGCTGGTATATAGAAATAAAATTGCTTTAGATGTAAATCTTTTTCTGGCAACTTTACTAAACTCCTTTATTAGCTCTAGTAGCTTTTTTGTAGGTCCCACCAGATTTTATGCATAGATGTTCATGTTTTCTGCAAATAAACAAGTTTACTTCCTCCTTCCCAATCTGGATGCATTTTATTTCTTTTTCTTACCTTAATGTACTGGCTCTTGCCTTACTGAACCTTAGCATGACGTCTAATAGATGTGATGAGAGTAGACATCCATGTTTTGCTTTCTGATTGTGGGGAAAAGCATTCAATCATTCACCATTAAATATGATATTAGCTGTAAGATTTTCATAGAGCCTATTTAAGTTCTCTTCTATTCCTACTTTGTTGACTTTCTTTTTCCAGCAGTAATCCATGTTAGATTATTTTTTTCAAATTCTTTTTCTGTGTCTATTGAGCTGTACATATGGATTGTCTTTTTTAAGATTGTCAGCATGGTGAATTACATTGATTTTCTTTTTTCTTTTTTTTCTTGCAGCTGCTTGGTACAGGGCTCTGAACCCTTGACCTCAGTGTTATAACAACATGCTCTAACCAACTGAGCTAACTTGCTAGCCAGGTTAATTAATTAATTAATTTTTAACTTGCACACATTTGTACATATTTATGGAGCACAGTGATGTTTTAATACATGTATAAAATATGTAATATTCAAATTATGGTAATTAGCATCTCAGACATTTATCATTTCTTTGAGGTGAGAGCATTCAAATTCTAGCTATTTTGAAATACATAATATATTACTGTTAACTAGAGTCACCCTACTGTGTAATGGAACAGTAGAACTTATTCCTCCTATCTAACTGTAACTTTTCAAATGTTAGATGAAACTTGCATTCTTGGGATAAACCCTATTTGGTCATAATGTACTTTCCTTTTTATATATTGTTAAATTTGATCTGCTAAAATTTTGTTTAGACTTTTTGTTCCTATGTTCATGAGAGATACTGGTCTGTGGTTTTTTTCTTGTTTGTCTTGTTTTCATATCATAACACTAGTTTCACATGAGACAGAAAGTATTTTCTGTTCCTCAATCTTCTAGAAGGGTTTGTGTAGAATTAGTATTATTTCTTCCTTATAGGTTTAATAGAATTTACCAGTGAAGCCATATGTGTATGGAGCTTTCTTTGTGGAAAAGTTTTTAAGTATGAATTCAATTTGTTTTATACTTACAAGGTTACTGAGGTCGCCTATTTCTTCTTGAGTGAGCTTTTGCAGTTTGTATGTTAGATGGAATTCTTTCATCTAAATTGTCAAATTAATTGGCCTAAGTTGTTCGTAGCGTTCCCTTGTTATCATTGAATATCGGTAGAGCCTAGGGTGATGCTCCTCAGTGATTGCTGATATTGGTAGTCTGTGTTGCCTCCCTTTTTCCTGATCACTTTGGCTAGAAGTTGATCAATTTTATTAATCTCTAAGAACCAGCTTTTGGTTTCGTTGATTTTCTCTATTTTCCTTTTGTTTTCTATTCCACTGACTTATGCTCTTATCTGTATTATTTCTTTTCTTCTCCTTACTTGGGAATCAGCTTATGCTTCTTTTTCTAGTCTCCTGTGGTGAAAACTGAGGTCACTGATTTGAGACTTTCTTTCTTCCTAATATAGGTAGTGCTATAAATTTCCAAGCAGTGCTTTAGTGGCATTGTACAAATTTGACATGTTGTGTTTTCACTCTCATTCAGCTCAAAATACTAATTTCCCCATTGACTTTAACTCATAAGTTATTTAAAGTGTATCATTTAGTTTCCAAATATTTGAGGATTTTCCAGGTTTTTCCATTATTGATTTCTAATTTAATTTTGTTATGGTCACAGAACATACTTAGTATGCTTTGAATCCTTTCACATTTATCGAGACCTGTCTTATAGCCAGAATAGGGTTTATTTTGGTAAAAGCCCCATGTACACTAAAAAGAATATGCATTCCACTGTTCTATAAATGTCAATAATATTAAGATGGTTGATGATGTTCACACCTTCTAGATCCTTACTGATTTTCTATTTATTTGTTCTGTTAATTATTGAGAGGTGAGTATTGAAATCTCTAATAATAATTGTAAATTTATTTTTTCCTGGTAGTTCTGTCAATTTTTACTTCATGTATTTTGGTTTTTTGCTTTGAAATTTAGAAGCAAATTTTATTTAAGATCTGAAATACAATTCCTAAAATATCAACTTTTCCACAAAACTGTGGTTACACAATAATGCATTGCCTCTATCATGTTAGAATGTGCATTAGAATCAAATACGAAAACCATTAAACAAACCACCATCCTTCAACAACTTAAACAAAGATAGTATGCCTAAGAAACAACATAGATGGACTTGTAGACAGGATGGGCTGTTTTACTTCAAGCACCGTTTAAAAAAAAACAGCACAAATGCATGGGTTTTCAAGTATATACATTAAGTTGAATCATTTGGCACTAGGAATCAGGGTATTAAATGGGATTAATCGTGCATTAATTAACATGATTAATCAGGGCATTAAATCAGTAGCATTAACACATATATAAAATTGTGTAGTGCCAAAGGGATAGAACCACCAGCATCCGAGCAATGTGGTCAACTAGGCTAGGCAACAAAATGTTTTACAGAATGTTTATTCTTTGTCGAATTACTGCATACACTGGCAGCAACTTTGAAATGAGAAAAAAAGCTTGCAATGCTTGTGGAATTCTTTGTCAGATATTTTTGCAAATCATGCAAAGAGCCCAACAATAACACAAGGCTCTTCTCATCAAGGGGTGTATATGCCAACATTGCTCCGATTCCTACAAATAATCTCAGTAGGTGTGGCGCTCTGTAAACCTACGGCGTTGGTGCAGCAGGGTGAGCTGAGAGGATTGCAGTGTACTGGAGCCTCTCAAATTTGTCAAGCAGCTGAGTGCCCAACATCACGTTGAAATATTCTTTTATTCCTGCCACAATTTCATTAACTGCATATTCCTTACTATCGATGTTTCCCTGTGATTTCTTGCAATTCACATACTCTTCCAGAATGGCATATGTTTTTCTTAGGAGTTGAAAGAGCTGCTCTTGCCTGGTAACTAAGTCCCAGTCCTCAACAAGCCATGGTTTTAATTCTTCAAGAATCTTCACTTTAACTTCCATCCTGTTCTTAAACACCACTTCACTTTCAACAGTATGGTCCACATGGGCCCTTTTCTTCCCAGGGGGCTGAAGTGCTTCGCTGACACTGCCACCATCTCCATTTCCAGGAGTCTTCTGTTTGTTTTTTCTTGTCTTCCTCATGGATCCTGAAGGGAGGTTCTCTGCTGAGCGACCCCCCACCATCATCCTGAGAGATCTGGTTCAAGATTCTTCTGCAGTGGACCAGCTGTCTTCTTTCCTGAACAGGCCCCTCTCATCTTACTTCTCTGAGTGTTGCTTCTAGTTGGTTTTTTTGAAGTTGTTTTCTTCCACAAATTGCTGTCCATGAGTTAGAGAACCCTGCTTTCTGGAACTCATTCAACCCTGTTTTTATTCCAGCCAACAATCCTACTTCTTTACCTTCCAAGAACGCCTAGTGATTTCCCAGATGGACTCTTATAGATCTTCTGGGATGGTCTCGAAGGATGAAGTAGGAGACACAACCTAGAAAGGAAAGCAGGTTCTGCAAAGAAGATGAACTTTTGTGAAATCATCCAAGATTCTGTAATCAGGGATGGTTCTGCAATCAAGATCCAATCTGATCCTTACTGTACAGCAAACTTAGCTTTTCTGACGGTGACCTGAAATCCAGTTCTTCCCAGCAGCTGATGTGTGATCTCTGCTGTTCCTACAACTGCCATAGCCTGCTTCATGTATTTTGAAGGTCTATTATTAGGAGCACAAACATTTAGAATTATTATATTCTCTTAATTCACTGACTCCTTAAAGAAATAACTTTCTTTATCCCTGGTAATATACTTTGCTCTAGAATCTCCTTTGTCTGGTTTAATATAGCCACTCCAGCTTTCAATGGACTAGTATGAGTGTGGGATATGTTTTTTTATTTAAAGGGTGATCCTGGTAGACATGTAGTTGGGTCATGCTTCTTTACCCAACCTGACAATCTCTGCCTTTTAATTGGGGTATTTAGACAATTTCCACTCACTGTGATTATTGATATGGTTAAGTTTAAACTCAGCATCACCTTTTCTTCCATTTATCCCATCTGTTCTCTGTTCCCTTTTCCCTCTGATTCTGCCTTCCTTTGGATCACTTGAGTCTTTTTAAAGACTCTAATTTATTTCCTTTGTGGTCTTATTAGCTATAACTTCTTGTTTTGTTATTTTGTGGTTGTTTTAGGGTTTATAGTATATACATCTTTAACTTAATCATAGTCCACCTTCACATGACACTGCACTACTTCATGTCTATAATAAACACTTGATGATAGTTACTACTATTTTCCCCACTTCTGACCTTTATACTATGGGCATATGTTTTGCTTTTGCATATTTTCTAAATCTCATAATACACTGATATTTAAATAATATGAAAACGGTTTTATGTATTTATCCACGTGGTCATCATTTCCAGCATTCTTCACTCCTTTGTGTAGCTCCATAACTTCCATCTGTTGTTATTTTCTTTATGCCTAAAGAACTTCCTTTAACATGTCTTTTTTCTTGGTGACTGCCCCATATGTCCTTTAACATTTCTTATGGCAAGTGTGCTACAGAATGCTTTCAGCTCTTAGATGTTGGAAAAGTCTTTTTCTCAACTTTGATTTTGAAAGATATTTCGCTGGGTATGATACTTTAGGTCAATAATATCGTTCTTCAAATATGCTAAAGATATTACTCCACTGTATTCTCTCATGCCTTGTTAATGACGAGAAATCCAAAGTAATCCTTATCTTAGTTCCTCTCTATGTAAAATGTCTTTCTTCTTTGGCTGTTTTTCAGATTGCTCTTTATCACTTGTTTTGAGCAATCTGATTATGATAAACCTTGGTGTAGTTTTCTTCATGCTTCTCGTGCTTGGGTTTCATTGAGCTTCTTAGACCTATGGGTTTCTAGTTCTCATAAATTTTGGAAATCTTTCAGCCATTGTTCCTTCAAATATTTTTCTGAATACCTCTTGTCTCCTCTTCTACACGGATCCCAGTTACATGTAGGTTGGATTCCATATCCAGCCACGATAGCTTTATAGGTACTGTCTCTACTCTCCAGTTACATTAGGTTGCTTAAAAGTGTCACACGGCTCTGACCTCCAGTAGTTTTGTCATACTCTTCAGCTGATCAGTACTGTGCTGAATGCTAAAAGGGGACCCTTGATAGATCTCCAGAGTTTGCTCGGCATGTAGCTCTCTCCTCCTGGTTCTCCACCCTGTGAATTCCAGCTGCCCTGGTGTCCGTGGACTCTCAGCACCACCTCAGCTCAGGGTGTCCACTGGCTCCACTTGGCTCTTCCTTTCTGTGCCACAGCCTGGGAACTTTTCTAACACTGTAAGCTGGGACAACTGTACTCACAGCAGTTTTTCCTTATCGTTCAGAAATTACTGTCCTTTGTTGCCAGATGTCCAGTGACTTAAAATTGTTATTTTATTTATTTTGCCTGGTTTTTTCTTTTTAGTTGTTTCATTTGGGAGGGCAAAGCCAGTAGTCATAAAGCTATCATGGCTGGATATGGAAATCATTTACTTATTTTTAAATTGATTTTAAAAGTTACCTATAGAGAAGGGTAACAACAGAGTGAATGGAACTGGGACAAAAGCTAGAGTTCTCCGAATACACCTTGTTTTACAAATTGACTTTGGATCCTGCAAATATGTTAGATAATTATTAAACAAATCAAACAAACAAAAAAAAAAACTTTAAAAGCAGGCTCTAAAACTTGAAAGAAAAATGAAACCACCTGTGTATCAAGTTGGTAGCAAGACCACATAAAAGATTATTTTTCAAACTCACCCTAATGGGATATATCTTAAAGACAAAGGAACTGCTACACAGTCTTAAAATATTTTCAATAACATACTGTTTGTGGTAGTGTTGATATGTGTGTTTTTAATACTCATATGACTATTGTAAAATAAGGTAAATAATTATATGTTGATGTCATTGAAAACTGGGATTTCTATCATCAGATAAAAAAACACAAACGTTAGATGAAATACAAATCTCTCTAGCATCCTGAATTTTGATTGGAAGTAACCATATGACATTATGATGAATATTCACATAAAACGCCCCACATTATTTCCTAGCTTTGTCCTCTGAAAAGGCCTAGAAATGATGGCCAACTCAAAAGCAATAAGCAATCTCAGCACCAGAATGTAGTCTCTAAATACCATTTCCTGTTAAAAGGAACAAGGGCTCTTTAGAGAAACAGTTCCTTCAAGATCTTGGTAGGAAATGTACAAAATGAGCTGTGATCACCTCGTCATACTAGGAGGCAAGGAAGATCAAAATGACCAGTAGATGGTGACAAAAAAGGGCCCAAGAGCCAAGCTGAGGAGGCTCCCAGTAGCCAAAGATGAGAGAAATTGAGCATCACTAAGAATAGTCAAAATCCTTGATTGGACTGAAACACAACAAATATTTTTAAATCCATAACATCATTATAAACATAAGAAAAAACAAACAAAAACCACCCTTTCGGTGTCACTGGATAATGCTAGGAAGACAACTCATTGTTTTGAAAACAGTTTAAATTAAGAAAAAAAAAAAAAAAGTTACCCTGCCTTAACTATACAAACCAAACCTCAGTGTAAAGAATAGTTGATCATAGTTTCTCTTTGTAGAAGTATCCCAGACTTTAAATGAAGAAGGAACAATACAATGAGACCATCACCATTTTGCAGCCTGTCGTATATGGACAGGTCTAGTCAACGTCACCAATGACGACTGACATCAGAAAAAAATATAAAATAAAAGAGCAACACCCAGATGTTAAATGTTTCTTGATTCTTGTCAAACAAAGTTGAATTTGAATCTGACTACTTTCAATCCTCCCACTGAAAGTGACTAGAAAACTTGACAAAATATATGAAAACAACTGTTTTTCAGATAGAGAACAGGCAGCACATACCTGTGATCCCTGAGATAAGGGAAACAAATAGGCAAGCCCTGTGGACCACCCAGCTTTCTCCCTGGAGGCACTTTCTAGACCTCAGTGCAGGGAGGGGAAACGCAGGAAGAATACATCAATCCCACTGTGGAGGCGGCAATCAGAGTTTGGGGAGACTAAGGTGCCTGAAATACACAGGGAAAGGCACCAGAAAGATGGGACTACAAAGGAAAAGAGTTTCAGATATCTGCAAGGAGGTCTCCTTCAGTTCTGGGCTGAATTTTAAGCAATACCTGTGTAGGGTAATTATTATATCAATAGGTACATTTTAATTATATGTGATTTATATCTGATTAAAGTTGAGTTAAGATACATATCAATCTATTACAACATCAGGACCTCAGAAGGATCCTAATTTGAACAAGAACAATTTTTAAAAGGAGAGCATGATGGTTACCAATATTATGAATATATTTAATACCACTTAACTGCACACTTCAAAATGGTTAAGAGAGTAAATTTTATGTTACGCATATTTTACCAAAGTTAAAAAAAATGGAGGCGGGAAGAAAAGGAGGAAAAGGGATTTTGAATATGCCAAATATTGGGTGATATTAAGGAATTATTGTTAAGTTGGGTGATGGGCCCATGGCTTCTCTACTTTAGCATGTTTGAAATGTCTCAGGATAAGATGCTAAAAAAATTAAGACACAACTTCAAATGTTTAAAGGCTCACTACGTAAAAAGGGAATTAGATTCTAAAGAGGAAATCACGTGGAAGAAAATCTGGAGTCAATATAAGAATGAACTAGCCAGCAGAAGAGTGCGTAGCCTTGGAATGTACGTGGCTCTACCAGGAACTGCTGATGCACAGAACTAAAAATCACTTGTCAGGGCTGGAGTAGAAGAAATACCTGCAACTAGTGAGAAGTTGGACTAGTAGCCTTCTGAGACCCCTTACATAAGGTTTCACTAAATTTTGATCAATGAATCTGACCTCTGGTGCAGTTTTCCCAATCATGTCAGCACTCCATTACTCCTAAGCCCTGTCGAGTAATTATCTACATGATCTATTTGACATTTAACATATACTATTTCCCATATTCTTCACATTTCCCAGTTTTCACAGATACTTGATAAGACCTTTTCTTAAGCCTTTCAAAAATCAGAATTATGCTTTATACCTCTTGGAATCTTTTATTACTAGCGCAATGTCTCGTACATATTGGGACACCAAAATCCTTTTTTGACAATTCTTTTCACATCAGCATCTGTAACACTGAGCCGGCTCTCCTATCTTACCATTTATGGCTGTGTCTTCCCTTGTCACCCCCAATCACAGATGTGTCCTAAACCACATCGTGTCCACCAGGCCTACAAGAGGGTGCTGTTCATATCTAGACATACGATAAAAAGGAATCTTCCCCACATCTGGAGGTGGTTAACTTTTTCAAGTGATGACGATTCAGTCAGATAATTAAATTCTGAGTTGTGAGACTGCCTCTATCACTGAAGATTTCATCATGCTAACTGCATGGATCGCACACACCTTCATCCAGGCGGCTGCTACCACCACAACCATGGAGAAAATTGAAAAATGGTTTGATTTTTCTCCATCTTTCCCATCTTGGTGGTCTTTCTCCTGAATTCCCCAGGTATTCAATGTTTTTACACTGCCCTCTAGCCCTCCAAGTGGGAATCAGGTGGAGAATGGGATCCTGTGAAATTCCAGGCACTGCACCACACTTAACATTGTCAAATCATTGAGTTTGCACAACAACTGCAGTAGG